TCTTGTAAAAATTTTATTGGTGTAATAGCCTTTGCGATAATTAAATGCCTCTGTGTTAAATCAACGGGTCCGATTATTTAAGTAAATTAATCTGGTCGATTAAATCAGTCAATACGCTTGCGAATTTACTATCGAATCCACGACGAAGCCAATAGCTTCGGCGTAGGGTTCGATTCCTACACGCAACAAGTATTTGTGTGACCAACAACAGAATTTATCGTTCCGGATTAATTCTTTCTGGCTGTTGACGTCTAGCAGTCGGCTTTTCGTGAAAAAAAAAATCTAGAAATACCATTAACAACATAATTTACGACCGATAAGGGCAGCAGAAAAAAAAGAGAAGACTCAATTGGTCAATAAAACTTATGCCACCGTGCGCATGTTACAGTTATACTGAAGACGTTTAAGGTAAGCTATTTGAAATCAAGTTCAGGCCTGGGTATGTTCTTAGCCGAACGAAACACGAATAATCAAGTTTCAGATAATTATCCAATGTGTACTGTAAACATTGGGCCTTTTTAAAAAGGCCCAATGTTTACAGTACACATTGGATAATTATCATAAGGTTTCGATAATAGCTGATTCGAAGTGAAATTTTAATGAATACTTCGTAACTATGTGAAATCAAATTATTCAATTAATTATTTAGTACTGTAACAGCCTATGTATTTCCCACTGCTGGGGAAAGGCCTTCTCTGTATAGAGGGTATTCGGGTCTAGTCCGCCACGCGACCCCACCGTGCACTGCCGTACTTCACATGTCTTCGAAAGATTTTTTTTATTATTGTTATTTCGAAACTGCTCAGGTTCCTCGCCATGTTTTCCCACACAGCTGAGCACGTGAAAAGCCAGCACTTGAAATTGCAAGTAACAATTTTATTGGTATCGGCACCGGGATTTCAACACCGGCATTTGGCTCGAGTATATTGAATTGAAAACTGAGCTGTCATTAGTTAATAAATTATGTCTACCTTCTAGGAACGACTATCTATTCTATTAGATAATAAACATACGTCCCATTACTCGTTAAATCTGTAAAGGTTAAAAAATATTGGAATGAATTTCTAGTGATATTTAATAAATAGAGCCGTGATAGCCCAGTGTCCGGGCGCTCGCCTTTAATTCAATATACTCGAGCAACCTGAGTTCGATCCCCGGTGCCGGCACCAATGAAGTTTTTAACTTTAAGTGCTGACTTATCACGTGCTCCGCGGTGAAGGAAAACATCGTGAGGAAACCTGCATATTTTCGAAATAATAACAAAAAAAAAAATATATTTAGAAGATATGTGAAGTCCGCCAATCCGCAGTGGGGCCGCGTGGTGGACTATGCCCTGATACCCTCTGTATAGAGGAGGCCTTTGCCCAGCAGTGGGACATGTATAGGCTGTTACTTTACTTTACTTTTTTTTTTAATAAATAAATAAATATATAGGACATATTTTTACACGTTCTCTAGTCCCAAAGTCAGCAACGCTGGTACTAAGGGTACTAGATAACTTATAAACATGCTTATACATACTTTTCTTTTGTAAATAAATAGATATTATAAATATTATTATTTAATTTGTAAGGAAATTAATTTTTCATTTAAATTTAAAAGACAACGAACTTATTTAAGCGCGCCTTTCCTTGTACTATGTTAATGTTACCTCGTCTGAGGTAGAGTCATAATTGTGTGAAAGTAAATACAAGACTCGTCTTTGTGTGTTCGTGTGCAATGTACACAAAGGCGCTACTTGGGGATATGTTCGTTGTTCTGTGAGATTAGAGTTGATGATCAATGCCATGACCAAAATCGAACAGTATTTACTTTTTTCAACCGCCTTGAAAAACGGAGGAGGTTTTCAATGCAACTGTATTTTTTTTGTGTTGGTTACCTCAGAGCTTTCAACCAGTTGAACCGACTTTGATGATTCTTTTTTATTTGAAAGCTTCCAATGTGGGTTCGTATTAATTTCATATTGGATCTTGGGCTAAGGAGATACTTAGGGAAGTCATGGAAATTAATTACAAAATGAATAAAGAGTGAGAAATTTTAAGTCGGTTTTGTTTTTCGTTGATAAAAAAACCAAGTGGTGTTGTAACTAGAGTTATGATTCCTTTGTTCTGGAGTTTTCTGTCTCAATTGACACTTTTTTAATTATAACCGCTATTTATTTGAGGTATTTAAAGAGAGTCTGTGATCGTATACAATAATGTAAGGACCTCAACAAAAATAATAACCTCAACTACACAGCACATCTTACTTATTGTACGGCCATTTGTGCTTATAAATATTTATTAATGGCATCCGATAAGTTAACGTAAGTTCGTGGTTGTTAAAAATCTTTAAATTCCGAATAATAATTTTTAAAGCATCAATTTTTCAATTTTTTGCCTTTTATACTAACATTGATAAATAATGTTATGTAAGTACTTATATAATATTAATAATCGCAAAAAGTACTGGCATAACATACAGCAAACATGAGTTCTTGTTGCAGATACTACAATAATGTTTTCATTATATATATACACTTTAAAATCCTTAAAGAGTATATAAGACTCTTTAAAACTTAATAATCATCATTATAAACATAAAAACATTCCTATTTAAATGTAAAACAATAATCGTATAATTATATACGAACATTCTATTTGCGTTCATAAGCAACCACAGACAAAAAATACAGATTAAAAATGCGGGAAGAACCTTAAACTTGAAGAATGGACACTAATTGTTTAATTAAATATCACAAGCAATCGTAATGCATTCATTCATATATGAAATTTTAATTGCATTTATAAGATGGCACAGATAAGGACAACATATAATATGGGATGAAGAGCTTACGCTTAAACAGTATTTGTATGCATGTTATAATATTATGCATGTGCGCTCGTGTAAGTAATATTAATTTCAGAGTTAAAGGCTATGCATATAAGTTGTGAAGCAGAAGTGTTTCACATAATCGGTTGTAATTAACCAGCAAATATCGCAAATACCGCACCTCTTCCTGAGAATATACCCAAGAAGGATTAAATTTCCTAAGGTTATTATGGAACTAAATCGAATAGATCTTGTTAGCTTAATCTATCTTTAGCTCGCACCATTGTTTTAGCTAAAAATTTTTTTTTCTTTGTTTAACTTATTTTTATCTTTTAGTACGTAGACTATTAACACTAAATAAAAAAATGTACGCACGTAAAAAGTTATAATTTTAGTCTTTAGCGTAAAAACATTAAATGCAATTGATAGCGTAGCTAATAACTTTGAATTGTTGGTAAATGTCAATAAGTTGTTATTGGTATATGGTTGTTGCCAAGATTGAACTGATTACCAAGCATCATATCGCTTTTTGAGGGTCGATGTGGGCGCGCATTCGTTAAAATTTTACTCTCATATTTTTTCCAAAGGAGTATAACTTCAAAAACAGGGTACATCTACATCGGGTAGAGCAGCGCATGTTTTCATGCATGCTTCAACTACTGAGGAAAGAAAAGTCACATACGGAACCAAGGTTCGATGCGGTGCGTCAACCGTAGGTGAGAATCACACTGAGACGTGAATTTGAGATGGATGAGGTGTCAATCGATGCGTAATTACGGTCCGGGTGATCAAAGGCTACATATTTTATGAATACAATACGAAAAAAAAACCGGCCAAGTGCAATAAATCATCTGTGAAAATTTCAACTGTCTGACCTATCACGGTTCATGAGATACAGCCTAGTGACAGACGGAGAGACAGACAAGTCAGGAGTCTTAATAATAGTATGGAGTAGTCTAAAAATGGGGACCGGTTGGTTCAGTACGAAAACTAATTCTTATTTCATTATTGTTCCTTGTTTTTTTTATCTGAGAAGGTGGCAATCTAGTTGGCGGTTCACCTGATGTTAAGTGATAACCGCCGCCCACTGACATATGCAACACCCGTAGGATAGTAGACACGTTGCAACCTTTTAATAAATTGGCCCCGGCAGGATGCCTCACCAGATGAAACGCAAAAGTTTAACACTTCCACTTCCCGCTTATCATCTGTGAGGTCGTGGTACTTTCCCGGACGGACCTGCCCATTCGTGCAACAGCGAACACTGTTGCGTGGCTCTACCACGATTTATTGTTTTTTGTTTATGGAATAAAAGTTTAGTATGTTTAGTCTTAGTTAATGATAACACGATGGTGGCGTTCATAATCTATCTTTTTAATTTTATTCGTTTTATATTTGAACTTCATTTGTTATCGCAGTACTTTCGACATAATGTGATTTTTATTAATTTTTTTGAACTTAAAATAGCTTTACGTGCCGAAATTGGGAAATTGGAAAGAAGAATTCCCCCACACATTCATAATGGCATAACACCAGAAAGTCTTATTATGTTCAATTAGTACTTGTTATTTTTCCCGTTAGCAAACTGGTAAGTAGCCAATGTTGTAAACAATTTTTTGTAAAGAATAAATTTTAATTTTATAATTACTGAATTAATATTTAATCATCGCAAGTCGAACTCTTGTTCAGTTGTTGTTTCAGTGCTTAAATCCTTACCTACTGTAGTTATATTTATTAAAAATGCAATTTTCTGTCAAATAATCTACAAATAAAAATTATACAGAAAACACAAGATATGTTTACTAATATTAATATAATTGTCGATTATTCTCCACTTACAATTTCGCTCTCCTTCACACAATTTTGATAAAATAAGTGATTTTTACAGTTCGTGCAACCACCACCGAATTTAAGAAACGTCATGTTGCATTTAAAGAAAGTGTGGTAAAGTATAACAAAAGTGGCTTATTGGGTATTGTGTTAAATTTAATATGGCTGTATTAGAATTGATTAGGGAAACATACATTTGATCAGAATCAGATACAGTTAGGTGAGATTTAGTAACACGAAAATCTAATTTAGTTTTCATTTGGACATTGTATCCAATTCCTAGTGTGTTAGCACAATTGCGATGATGAGTGTTATTGCTCAGACAACCGTAATCCCAAAGGAATGTGAAAGTATATTACGGAATAATCCTTGAGTTCCAAAATTGAAGTTGTTTTTGGATGCTGTGGCAGGAACCGGTGTTAAAGGCGGGAGGGTAGTCTGAGATGTCTCCGAGACTGTTTGGCTGCTTGGTATACCGTCCACGTCAACTCCAGGAGGTGGAACATTTGGTATCCCGTCGTTCCTATCCTCGAATCCAGATGGCGGGACACTCGGTATCCCATTGTTGTCTTCAAATCCAGATGGAGCATTTGAATTGTTATCATCATTTACAGATTCACCGTTTTCGTTATTAAATTCAGCAGGCGGTGGGTTTGGCACTCCGTTGATATCGTCTCCGAAATTTTGTCCGTTATCAGGCTTATCGTCGGCCTCTTCTACGATGTTTATAGTGAATTCGTTGGATCTTCCAGTTGTGAAGCCTTGGTTGGAATTATCAGTAACTTTGTTTGGATTAACATCGTATTCGAATGGATTGTTTGTGACAGTTGGCTCGAATACAACGTTTTTTCCATTATTGTACTCCCTGTTCGGATAGTTTATACTGTTATAGTAATATTCATTGGGATTAAAGTTGTTTGGGTAGTTTCCGTATTGGTCCTGGTAATACGGTCCGTTGATGATTCCCGGTCTATTTTGATTTCCCCTATTCGGTCTGAAGTTAAGGAATGCCTGTAGGGTCCTCGTCGGGTTCTGTAGGAAGTTTTCGACCGTTCCGAGAGCGTTGAAGCGTCGATCCTCCCTCTGGGGGAAGAATCCTACGATGACAACCGGAGTGGTCAGTACACATAGAATGGCAAATGGTATAATAGCAGTGTAAATTAGCCTGAACATTAGTTATACATATGTAAAGAAACTCGATTGATTTGTTTTATTAATTGAGGCTATGGGGGCGTAACTAGTATGTTTTAATTATTCATAACTGATAAATGGTTATATTAGCGAGCAAGTCTAATCGCGAGGGAGACTCCCGATATAATAATTTTACTATAATATAGAGGAATTGTGAAACTGAATGTGCATAAGATTGATATAAATAAAATTTGTACGATGAAGTTAGTAAATAAACAGCAGACAAACATTGTCCTGAAGTAGTTAAAACAATACAATGGCAATATGAAAACGCAATAAAAATATTTCAATTAGATACGAATTGTTTTGTAATCGATTATCCGTTTCATTATTCAAAACTGGTTTGTTACGGTGATGTGAATCGTTAATTATCCCTTGATGCAAAGAAATTTTCTAATTTGCTATAAAAAAAACTATTTTAGCTGTTTAATGATGTAAGGGATACATAGGCACTTTTATGCAAATGTTTAGTCTCTTTGCGAGTAGAGTTGAAGCATTTTATGTCTGATTTTACTAAAGTCTTTATTCTATTTAAAAGGGTCGTCTTTCAGAAGAATAGTTTTGAAAAGACAGCCATATTAAACAATTTTACTGACTTTCGCGACAAAAAAGTAAAAAAAAAAAAACAGCGTTGTCTGGCAATTATCTAGTAAGTGACAAATACAAATTTATTTTGCCTTTATTAAAGAAATGTATTATATTTTATTTAACTTTGACGACTGTCCACAACCGGGAATACATAATATTAATATGTATAATAGTACCTATGATCCTGTTTCTTTTTTTTAAATTTTCGTATCAATGGAATTTTGCAAAGGCGTTGACCTCTCGCATTGAGCCAACTGTCAGGAAGTCAAGGACTATTTAGCCGGCATCGGGCGTCGTTAAAAGATAAAGAGAAACGGATGTCTTCCTTTCCATATGCGCACGTTAAAGAAATTGCTAGAAAAACAATCGAGTGACAATAGCTAAACATTTTTTGAACTTACTCATATTTTACAAAACACGTTTATACTATGAACAAAATTAATCGCACATTTATTTTCAATATCCGGCACGGAACAAGAATAGATTGAGTTTTTATTGAGAGACTACGAATTATCTTAAATAGGTAAGATTTTAATATAATGACATAAAGACCCGGAACATATTAAAAGATAAAAATTAATTTCAGTACTCATAATTTAAAAAATAGAAAAAAACACAGTTCAGAGGTTTCACTTTATCAATTCCTTGCTGGAATTAATCTTAATAATAACAGATAAAACTGTTGCCGCCAAAAATTGCTTCGACTTTCGCATAGATAAAACAGAAGAGGCTGCAACGGCGTTGGGATTTTGGCGCCAAAATCTTTCTTTTTTTTCTACTCACCAAACTGACACAAGGCAAACTGTACACACAGGCTGGCACACAAGAGAACGAACGCGGTTTTCGCCATCGCGGGGCGAACGGGCACTCCGAATGCACGAGACGGATAAAAGGCAACTGTCGCCGCCGTAGAGCCAACTGTTAGCACTGGCCGAAAACGCGCGCGCGCTCGCTGGTCAAGTTGCCGACGGTCTTGACCAACATATGAATATAAAGCTGCGTCCGAGGTGACTTGGAACGTCACGCGGCGCACTAGTGACCGCGCGCGGCGACGTCTGCCCATTTTCACCTGGTTTTGTTTACGCTGTATGGCTTAGCAGAATTGTTAGTTTCTGTGATTTTTTCTGTTGCTTGTGTAGTAAAGTTTATGTTTTTATTTTAGTTTTATTGTGTTGTGCGCTAATTACCAGGTGAGGTACATATCATAACCCAGTTACATTTATATCATTGCATTAATATTGTAACTCCATTACCGTATTTTGAATGCATGAAAAATGATTACATTACTATTACTGTGGTAAGACCACGCATCACGGCCGCACAGAAGTGCCCGTTTTATCTAGTGAGCGAAGTAACCATTGCCCATTACCCTTTGTTTTAGGTTGGCATCGGATCTGCCAACGTTCTGGCATTGTCCATGGGCGGTCATTACTTAACATCAGGTGAACCACCAGTTCGCTTGCCAACTTTTCACATTTTTAAAAGCATTTTCAAAACCATAAGATATTAAAATTATTGTTATTGTGGACAAATAAACGCATAATAAAACTAATAAACATTTAACAATGTATCTATGCCGCTAGAGAAAGGCACTGCTGTGCCGTACTGTAAAGTAGAAACGTGTTTGTCTGCACGGACAAACATACAGACACTAGTTTACAATGTATATCAATTCCACGCCGATGAATAATCCGCATCCGCGTCCAACGCGACCGGACTTCCGAAAACTAATCACCAGTTAATTTATGGAGGTGGGATTCACATGGGCGTTTGGTGAGGGATTTCCTACGTACGCGACAACTTTTGGTGACTACCACAATATGATGGCCCCAAACCCATGGGTTCTGGCTAGCCCACCGGTTCTGCGTCAGATGAAGCTTTAATAGTCTCGGGACTGAAAGCAAAAACATCAGTTAATACAAGATACAAGATAAAATGATGGAAGATTATTGGTGTAAAAGGGTGCCCCATTGTTAGCCATTTTGACGAAGGTTCTCGAACCTCACTTTTATCACTAGTTACTGCCACACGTTGGCAGTTTAGTGGTGAGCGAGGGAGGGGGAACGCTACTTCCAGATATTTTGACCTAGGTTCAATCCATGGTTAAAATGTCTTTATTGAATCAAGAATTATTTCTCTCTTTTAAAACTGGTTCACGCGGTTCATACATTTTAGACCTGTCTTGCCGGAATCAATGAAATTTCTATCAATTAATTGTGGTGGGGCCACGCAATAGCTTCGGATGTTGCACGATTGGGAAAGACCGTCCTGGTAAGTACCACGACCTCACAGAAGACCGGCGTAAAGTGGAAGTGTGTAATTTTTTTGACGTTTTCATAGATACGGAACCCTTCGTGCGCGAGTCCGACTCGCACTTGGCCGGGTTTTTTTTGGTTTCACCCTCGCGTCACACGAACACAAAGCTAGCATTATTTCTTCTTCGCTTTCTTTTCTTCTTATAGCCATTTCTTCTTCAATAAGATCATACTTATGTTATATTGCCCCTTTTTATAAATAATCAATCATATTCTATAACCTTAGACATTTATAGAAAAAGGTTATTTTATACGCTAGAGATTAAAGAAAAAGGTCTGGTCTTCTGTTTAGAAAATTTCCAGTGCCTGGAAAGGGCATCTAAGTTTCTGTATACATCTCTATTGTAACACCTATTTATATAATGTGAACTTAGATGGCAAATAAATGATTGATTGATTGTCTGTTACATACGTGGGTTCTAGATGATCAAGATGTCATAAGCACATGAAGGTACCTCTATGATGTTCTATCGTACAGCGAATATAACCTTAACGCGATCTGAATAACGTAGGTTGGCTCTTTAGGAGGACCTGACCTCTCAAGGCCCGTGCTGACCAATTGAGGATTTTAGCTCGACTTTTTCCCTACGAAAAGGTGTCAAAGTGTTAATAGACTACATTAAAAACTAGCAAGCAATCCATTCGGTGCTAATTATTAAAATTTTATCATTAATGAGTATTAATGTTAAAATTAACGAAATAATTATTAGATAATTTGTAGTGAAATTGATAATTCAAAGATAATGTATTTAGAAACGAAATTGAAAGATTAAACGCCAATTTTACACTTTTGTGTCAGTACGTCGTCAACAAATTAATCGATCGTTAAATTTAACCATAGGTTAGTGTACTCATTAAATAAATGACTAACCTATCGTTGCGCTGTAGTAACTTAATCGACTCTTAATCAATTCAGTGAATTAAAAAGGTGTACGTTGTTTTATAAACATTATTAGTTTACCTTATAGAGAAGTGAATGTCTTAATCGATAGAAATGTTACGTCTATAAAGGTTGCTATCGGCGCAGTGACAACAAATTCTAACGCACAAATGACCTGAGTCAAAGCCTGACACGTGTGAAACCGTATAGAATCCAAAGCTCTCTTTTAACAAATGCTCAGGTGGAAAAAAAAATTAAAGCAGTAAGAAAGAAAGAAAGGAAAACCTCTTAATTTGACCACACTTAAATAAAACATATTAAGACAAAAGATATAGAACTCCATTTCAGCAAATGATCTGCGAACTGATATTGGAGTCTAGAGATAATGAATACTCTACACAGGCTTAATGAAACATGCCCAAAGGATACAATGTATCTCAAGAGATCTTTAAATAAGGATTTCAGGTTATAAGGTGTTTTAAATTTCATCCGTATTTCTTACATTCTCTACTTTTATATTACATAAAAAGAATCGGAGTTATATACTCTGTCTAGCCGATTTTTCGGTCTAATTAAAAGATTAAAAATATTTCTAGGTCAATTCTATAATAATAGTGTCATGTCGATAGCATTGTCTTTTTTGTTTTTATAACAAAACGACTATTTATACTATTTATCTTCATGCAAATGTGAGGTTGCGAGGCGGATTTAATAATCATATTATGCAATATAATTTTTCGTTTTTAGACAATTTCGTTTTGCAATTGTTTTTACCTTACACTGATAAATAACTTCACTATTTCATAGGTAGTGTAAAAGACTGATGTAAAAGTTAGATTACTTCTTGGCGCAGTTGCCAAGGTATTGACTTCGGCGTCGGGGGTCGTGGCATCGATTCCCACAGGGACAACTATTTGTATGACCCACAGATAATTGTTTCGGATGTTTGTCCCCGTGAAGTATATGATATAAAATACCATTAAATTACAGGAAAATGTTATCCTACAGTAGGGGTTAAAAACATTGCCCTTACTGTAGGATATGATAAAAGTAAAAAAATAAGACTTTATATCTTACATGATTATTCGTAATTCATTCAATTACAAATCAGTTAATATATTTTTAGGTAAACTATCACGACAATCAGTCTCAATTATGAAACAGGTAAGTAATTGAAATATTGATTGGCATTCTAATCACGACGCTTAGAAAAGCACAGTCCTAATCAACTGTAGAAAATTAAATAATAAATTAATTTGCTGTATTTTTTACAACTATATCTAAACTATGTAAAGAATAGTCTAGTAATCTTCTATAAGTCAGATTTCCATGGGTTAAACCTCAGGTGAAATGCTTGTTTGCGTGGGGCTTATTAACGTCAGGTTTGTGTGTGATTAAGATTATTTATTGGTTAGGGTAACATTTTTTATACTTTAAAACTGTGTAGGTACACCTATCGTATTGAACTTTACTATCCTACCAAATTGGGTACACCTATCGTATAGAACTTTGCCTACTATCCCACCAAATTGGGTTTTGTTTTATCTGTAGTCATGCTACAACAAATCTGTGGCGTATTACATATAACATCATCCTCCAAAAGTTTTTTGCCATGTGACATCCTGCGTAACACCCTAAAAACTATTAAAAAAAAGTTTCGTCTGAGGTCCTGTTTCTGTATCCGGTTTATTAATGGACTGCATCCGCTTATGGGGCGCCGACCAACACGGACTTATGCAATTAAAATTTTCAATTAATTAATCATGTAGCAATCCCACACGAGTACAAGGGCTTTTCTCAGAAGCAATGTGGTATGTGATACGTATCAAGTATAATTATTACACATATCGATTACATACAAGAAATAATATTTTTTCCTATCAAACGATTGTGTCCTTATGAAATATTTGCATTTTTAGTGTAAGTAGTAGTTCTGTGTAAGTTATGAGTTACATTGGAATGCTATTAAATATATTAAATATAAATGTTAAATACAATTTCAACTTACAAAACATTATAGATTAAATATTCATATCTTAAATAGAAAAAAATTATACCCTCTGTACACAGAGATATTTTAGTTTTCTTTTACTTTTATAAACCGAACCTCTTCGAATGCGAAGGATGGGTAAAATTTAATATCACACAAATTCTTACACCTTCAATCCTGACTGAGAATTTAGAGCTGACTGTTGTTACTATAGCTACCACGTAGATAAAAGTTATAGTGGTCATAGCCTTATTATTGGCAGAACCGCCCTGCAGCAAGCCCTAAGCTGCAATACGAACGGCTTGGCTCCACCGGTGAAGGCATACGTTCAGAATACCAAATTCAAAACAAATATTTCTAATAGTTTAGGACGCATTTTTACACAACGTTCTCTAGTCCCAAACTAAGCAACGCTTGTAGTATGGGTACTAGATAACTGAAACATACTTTTCTTTTGTAAATAAATACGTATTTTAAATATTTTATATATAGAATCAATACATATTATTATATAGTTCATCACGCAATATTTTTCCAGTAGTGGGGATCGAACCTACACCAGTGTATAATAACAGCAAAACGCATTTATGCTAGAAGTATCTAGACAGTTCATCTCAGTATTCATGTTACATTGCGTGTGAGTCTTTAATTTTTCCTAATGATGTGGATCTCATGTGGCAGAGACGTCAATTAAAAAATATGCTCTTACCTTGCAACTTCTGCGACCTTTGCCCTCTCCTGGACTTGAGAATGACGACCTTATACTTCCTCTTCACGTTGGTAACGTGGTTCGCGTATTTATATTCTGGATCGGAGCTGGTGTTAAGAACGTTCAGGTTCCTGTACACGTATTGGGGGGTGCTGTGATACTCGTGACCGTAGGACGGGTAGCTGTGTGGATACCCTTGGGGGTAGCCGAGTGTGAACGAAGGGCTGTCGTAGCACGGCCCCACTACGGAGCTGTAGCCGCTAGTCCACTTCTTGCCGTAGCCGTAGCTCGGCTCGTAGTGCTGGTGTTTGCAGCCGTGCAGCAAGCTCTGGATGAGGGCGTCGTAGGCCTCGTAGTACTCTGGGGGGTGGGTCGGGCTGGGCGGTTTGTACACGAAGGGCGTGTTCAGACACTTCTTCCCGTTCTGAGCCAGTATCAGCAGAACGGGGAAGCTCTGTATCACGCTGCACAAGGTATTCCCGTTCACTGTCATCTCGGGGTTCCACCGAACTAATAGTTTCATCGCATATCTCCAAATGTTCCCGTTTGCCTCTTATCTCTCAATCTCTCGCGTCCATAGCCGAATGTCGTAACTCTCGTTTATCCATTGTCATGAAAACGGTTTCGCACTAATGTCATAAATGTGAGAGTTTGTACGTCTGTTCGTTCGAAGCAATCTTTATTTTTTGTGAGAACGTGATAAACGAGCTGGTGGTTCACCTGATGTAAGTGATAACCGCCGCCCATGGACATTTGCAAAACTCGTTCAAAAGCGTTGCCACTTTTAAATAAAATGGGCCCAGGCTACCTCACTCACTAGACACCAGAAGTGAAACACAGCCTACTTAAAAAGTACTGCGAAAGAACCTTATTTACAACGAATTAAGCGCACAAAGCCACGGTCAAATCTAGTAAAGTGTAATAACAGCTAACATTATGCATCATGATCAATATCTGAGATAAGATCTGGAATATATTCAGGGCAATGTTGCATACTGTTTCGAAATTGAATTAAATTGTGCGTGTTAATCTCGATTTAGTAATTGTTTATTACTACATACCTAACTTATCAAGGTACGCTTTAAAAAAAAGTTTATTATCTACTGTGGTATTGCCCCTAACTAACAACATTAAAGCGACGTTTAAAAAAATACATCGTTCATTTGGTAGACAATAATTTAATACAATATCCAAACTAATATTATAAATACGAAAGTGTGTTTGTTTGTCCTTCTTTCAGGTCGCAACGGAGCTATTTTATGACATGATTTTGACGCCTTCAGCCAATTCTACGCAGACGTAGTCGCGGGCAGCAGCTAGTACATTAATATATATATACAGCGTGTCTTTACAATCGCGACACTAAATGAACATGCATATAGAGGATAAATTTTTAAAATTGTATTAAACATTTACATTCTTTAAACATCAATATTTACTGAGTTTTAAATGTTCCAAAACAACGAATTTTTGAACACCAAAACGTTAAAACTGTAACGTAAAGTTCATTTGTAAAGGTCACAAAGCATATGAATGGATTGAATGAATTTGAAAGAGACAAAACATACTGTTAGAAGGAGAGGCTTGTAATGCGACGTGGCAACGAATGAAAAAGTCTCTGAATGTATGAATCAGTCAGTTGTAGTTGTATAGGGTGTTACAAATTTTGTTACTACGAAACAAAGGAAAATGTGTGAGCCTACACGTATCATTTACTAGTCTATATATCTTCTCATCATATATATATATATGTTACCCGTTGGGTTCGCTTGTAATTTTATAAAAATCTGGCACCGTTTCTTTGCTATAAGACCGCATTGAACGAACTAAGGAAGCATGAGTGTTTATAACGAGAGACAACTTGTCAGCCTTCAATGTGACATCCAACAACCCACGCGTGCCCACATCGTCTCAATCGAGGTACAGGCTAGGCCCTCAGCGGCCGGCCAACTCAAGCCCAGTGGACCTGGCCGCTCAAGGCCAACAGTGATTGATCCAGCCAAAAAAAAATAGTAAAAAAAATCCGCATCGTCTATTGACTTTGTGCTAAACGTCAATTCAAAATGTATTGTAGTCTGAAAATAGTTTGTGTGAATCAAGTCTTAGTTGGCATTGGGATTTACTCAAGGGACACGAACAATTCCCATGTCAATTGACTCACGCCGTATTTAATTACAATATAAAAGTGAGTAAAGCGTATGGTATTCTTGGAATATTAGCATTTCTCCGTGCTCTAGTTAACATGGTCGCCGGCGCCGAGTTGATTCATGCGCTTCCGGATCCAGGGACCGCGCCGCCATATTGACCTTCAAAACGAATGCTTCATTATTTTTTTGTTTTACTTCACTGTAAAAACTGGATAGGACAAAAGCATTAATAACCTTTCTAGTAAAACGATGAAAAAGTACATAGAACATAAGAGATTTCCACCGATAATTGACTTATCACGACATCTCTGGAACCATAAGGCGTCTCTACGCCTAATTTGAAGTTTCTACTTGAAATTTGGTAGGAATATTCCTTTCGCCGAGTAGAGTAGAGCAGAGGTCAGCTAAGAACGGATTTGACGAAATTCCGCAAAACAACGTTTGCTGGATCAGCTAGTATTACATATTAGTATTTACTACTTTCTATTATCTATGTGCATTGTACTAAGTTTTTGGCGGGATTTTCCTCTGGTCAATAGGTCCATGCCATAATTCTCTGTTTATATCGTAAAAAGCGTTTGACCACGAATTAGTGATTACAATGTTTTTGTAATTTTTTTACGGTTTTATTATGATAATTTCTTGTATTTACGCGATTACAGATTACTAATGACCAGTTTCAATATTCTATTTGTCTGTAGATTTGGTTACTGGAGATAGAGTTTTGACGTAAGTATCATGGAGCTAATGTCAAATACCAATCGCTAGTACCCAAATCGACAGATAGACAGAATATTGAAACCGCCATAAATGATACCATTACGTTGTTATATGACGTGTTTTTAACGCAACTATAACGTTTTGAACACTTCAGCGTTCCTGGTCACGGGATAGACTGCAATGGGACTCATTCATTTGTTTTTTTTGTTTGTTTGTAATTGCTTTACTTTTTATTTATTCCGGCTAGTAATTTAAAGTAAAGTAGCAAGAAGATGCACTTAGGTATGAGGACGGTCGACATGTGCTATGAATTACAATATAGAGTCATTGACGTAAGACTGCGACATATTTATTTACTGTACGTTTAAAGTGGATCGGTTGGGAATTTCTATTGTTAAATGACGTCTCAAGGTAACCGACGAAGATTAGGTCCGATTTTTAAATTTTTAAATTGCGTAATTAAATATTAGTGAAGTTAAAAATAAAGTATGCATGTCCTATACATGTTCCAATGCTGGGCAAAGGCCTCCTCTGTGAAAAGGGTATTAGGGCATGTTGCATCACGAAACCCCACTGTGGATTTTTAGATTTCACATATTTTCAAAATGTTTTTTTTCTTATTTCGACAATGTGCAGGTTTACTCACGAGGTTTTCCTTCACCGCCGAGTAAGTGATAAATTAATTATAACGTTATCAAAATATAAAACATGCCATATTATTTTTAAACATTGTATATAGTTATAAATTGTAAATAGTAACTGTGGTCGACAAATCAAATTTACATTAAAATTTCCATATAGTAGTTCCGGCATATTTAAATAACGTACATTTATTATAACGATACTCTAATGTTTGTATTAAACAATAGTACGACAAAAAAACTTTATTTTTTAAAATAATATATAATATAAAAATATTGATGATTCAAACAAATACTTTAATTTAGCTTTTCTGAATGCAATAATTAGGAATTATTCATTTAAGGAAAAATTTATAATTATTTAGCTCTTTCTTATGCAATGCAATCGTTTACTTTATGATAACCGTAATGGGTTATCGTAAAGGAGAAATAAAAAAAGAAATACATTTGATACTTTTATCAATACTATGATACTTAAGATATAAAACGGGTCATTATCCACATTTATTATTCCGAATTGAAAATATGTTTTCATCAGTACCAGCTACAGATTAAATTATTTATTTTATTATCCTTTTTGTTTTGATTTTCAGAGCCATGATAGCTCATTGTCCGGGCATTCGCTTCAATATCTATATGTATACCTCGAGCAACCTTGGTCCGATCAATTTTAGAGTGCGTAAAAATTACGTTTAAACCTAACTCGCTAGGTCAGTGCTATACAAATTACTCAATTCCCACATCGCACAATGGAAAACCGTTTCCGGCATAATGTTAGACTTGGATTAGGCCATAAATATATATCATAACTGGCAAGTATTAATGTGTTAAATTGCTTCCCGCGCTGCCATTTCGCTTGTTCGGAAACGGGGAATTTTCGTGATAGAATATTACGTAAACAACAATCATTACACGTTACCGTGGTTTTACTGAGATAATAAATGTCAATTTTTAAGGTTATCGCGTATATAAATAATCATATTTAAGAAGAAGTGTATAACTCACATTTAATAAGTTCTTGGATTATATAAAATTCAATGTTTTGCAGTTTATTACTTTAAAATAATATTAAATCGTTTTAATAAAATATCTGCATGAAACATATGCATAAATTAAATTTAACTACTTATATTCAAAAACATATATTTTTTTTATCGCTCCGTTTGTTTTGTGTGTATAAATGTTATCCTTGTTTAAATGTTATCATTTATTTATTTATTTTAAAACTTTATGCACAAAACTCCGTACATAGGCGGACTTAATGCTGACAGCATTCTCTACCAGTCAACCTTAGGGTAGTACCGAGAAGTTGAGGTAGGTGCACAAACATATTTAAAAAAAGTATACTAATTACACATAAATAGTTATCACAATCATTAGTTTTTTTATTATCTTATTATACTTAATTTTTTTTGTAGTGCTAATGTCTGCACTTAAAATTAAACATTAAAATTTGTAGAAAAAGTACGAAAAGATTGTAGCTCAGTCGCTAGAGTGTCAGGCCGCGAATGCCGAAGACGTGGGTTCGATTTCCACAGCGGCGACAATCTTTTCGTACTTTTTCTACAAATTTTAATCTTATTATATATCAATTTATCATCGTCATTCTTTTTTTATTTAGTGCTGAACTTAGGCCTCTCCTAGATACTCCAATTGACTTGATCTCGCTCTCCATTTGCTATTAGCAGACCCCATAAAAGCCGCATACGCTGTATGGAATTAAGTTAACGCGTAAGATGGATGGTTAGATTAAACTTCTTAGTTATTTCCGTAGATTATGAACACACAACACACATATATATATATATATATATATATATATATATATATATATATATATATATATATATTATTGGTGTACTAGCTTTTCGCCCGCGGCTTCGCTCGCGTTGAAGCCCTTCAATAAATATCAAGATATTTTCAACACTTTACAACACTTTTTTCCAATTAAAAAATTGCCAATGTCCTTTCTCAGGCTCTGGACTATCTGTGTACCAAAATTTATTTAAATCGGT